GGGTTTCACCATGTTGGCCAGGCTGATCTCCAGCTCCTGACCTCAAGTGATCCCCCGGCCTCGGCCTCCCATAGTGCTAGGATTACAGATGTGAGCCACTGCACCCAGCCTATTTTCTTTGACCATCGCGTCTCTCAATTTTCCTTCTGTCTCTTGTTCCAAAGGGCTCCAGGATATTCTCTGTTCTCAGCACACTTCCATCTGTGTATTTCCTTAGCAGGGTGTGAGTGATGCAAAGGTGTTCGGCTTTCTAAGGGAAGGGCTGACTTACTAATGACTGACCTATTTATGGTGAGGGAAACGATTTTCTAGGGAAACCAGGATGATTACCAACGAAACCGATAGACACACACGGGATAACTGTGTGATTAATGACTGGGTGCCTTGCAGGGGTGTAACTTACCAAGAGACCGACTTAACAGGAATCTAATTAAACAATGAACAGGGCAGGCTCTGAAGGGAGTGGATTTTCTCATGAACTGATTTTCAAAGGGACTAACCGTCGACTTATAACGGCACTGACCTGATTGTGAACCCACGGGCCGCTTGCTTACCTGCTTGGTAGACGGATGGCGCCCCAGCTGCTCTCGGGCTGACCAGGTGACTGACGTGGTGGAGGCTGAGGAACGCCGTCACTGGCTCCTGGAGAACTCCCTGACTATGCTTAATCTCACCGCCTGACTGATCCAGATTTGGCCTCTGTCTGTTCAAAGGGCTCGCAAGGGCCTCACTGGCACGAGAGCCGCCCTGGTGGCCTAACCGACCTGCGGCTGCCCCACGGCCCAAGGATCCGCTGACTGATGCTGACTGGAAGCCCCAGTTAGTGCAGGTTCAATGAAGGAACCCAACAACCGCCAACAACTGCCAGGGACCCAACAACCGCCAGAACCCAACAACCGCCAGGGACGCCAACAGGCCAGGCATGGCCTTGTGCGACTAGGGATCCTCAGAGATAGCGGCGTGAGGGGCGTGATAGTCGGCTGCACAGAGAGAGCGGCCTGAGACGCTGCATAGCAGCCACAGGACTTGCTAGCTCGCATCCTTAGGTGAGTGCATCCACCCCGCAGCCAATCAGTGGCTGCATGGGCTCACTTTACAGCCAATCAGAGGCTGCATGAGCTTATTTTACAGCCAATCAATGAGGCAGAAGAAGCATTGCCTCCACAGGCTTGTGCCCCTGGGAGCTGATGCACAGCTGCCAGAGTCAATCAGGAACTGCAACTGCAACTCCCACCTCCAACCTTTGTGACCAGTTGGATCTTGAGGGCTTGAGCCAATCCGCAGCCGGGGGCAGTGCCAGGGTAGTTGTGGGTGCCAATTTTCTTCTCAGCAAGGCCTTTCCAGCGCATGCTGATGAAACCACGCTCCTCTCCAACCCTGAGGACTCCGTTCCTGTTGTTTAACCCTATTTATTTTTTCTCACACTTTATCCGTCACGCACTTTTTTACCCATTACGCTTTCAAAATGACAGACGCATTTGAGGTAGAGCAACTCCATCTTGAATAGGAGCTGGGTAAAATGAGGCTGAGACCTACTGGGCTGCATTCCCAGAGGGCTAAGGCCTTCTAAGTTACAGGATGATATAGGCGATCAGCACAAGATACAGGTCATAAAGACCTTGCTGATAAAACAGGTTGCAGTAAAGAAGCCAGCCAAGGCTGGGTGCGGTGACTCACGCCTGTAATCCCA